GACAGCCACTTATGAACCTGGTTAATTATATTTCATTTGTTGTTATATTTTGGCATCTTTGGACCGATTCCAGCTTTCAACCTACTATGAGATCTAATTCTACTACAAGGAATATTTCTTATGATATATCATCTAAGATATTGCAAACAGAATAGCATAACCATAGAAATTCAAATGATTAAGTACTCACAGTGTAATAGATACAGAATGAAAAATTAGTCTTAGGTCTTAGGTCTTAAAGATTGAAGCCTACTTTCTATGCAAAAGACTTCCAGTTCATGATTTCAATCATTTTATTATTTTTAATATTAGGAACTACATTTCCTGCCAAGTTTAAATCACTAAAATATGTCAAGAAACCTGAACCCATTCTGTGCTCACAGTCATTACCCTATGATCCACATCAAATGGTTGACTAAGTGAACCAAACATGACAGTTGCTCAACAGATTTCTGCATAATTATGCAACTAATGTTAGAAGAACCTCTCACCACATGCACTGAATATGAGACCCTAAATTTAGTTGCTGCTGATGCAAAACTTAACATTATGCAACTATTAGAAGAATATCTCACCATATGTACTGAATATAAGACCTAAAATTAGTCACTGCCTATACAAAAACTTAACAGTCGCGACAACATTCTCCTCCTTTTCTCTGCCTTTTTTACATTTTACAGAAAACAGAAGCTACACACAGGCACTCAGAAATAAACCTTAAATAAAAAATGGATCAGCAATGAAGACACTGTTAATTACCTTTAATTGATGCTGAAATAGCTGATGTAGCATAAAATAAGACAACAATTGATCTCATTCAAATGTTATCCAAAATATCAGAAAACTACAGAGTGTTCTGCCTGGAACTTGGCCCCCATCCCAAAAGAATGAAACTAAAACAGATGGATAGGCCATGATATATGAAAGCAAATTACAATTTCATATTTCTACTAAAGTCCAATGTTTCATGTCAATGAAATTTAACAACATAACATTCACGTTTCCAACCAAAAAAGAACAGTATTCAGAAAGAAAAAAAGTAGTAGACTTGTGGAGGCTAAGTTCAGAGGAAACATAAAATTTAGAAGTCCGTGCATGAAGCATCCTCTAGTAAAATAATTTAACAACTAGTGAATACTTAGTTCAGGGGAAAAAATTAATAAAAACTCATAGTTTACATTTAGATTTCCATCAAACCATCTGAAATTGAGGACCTAAATCAATTATGCTATGTTTAATGGAAACAGATATCTGTTATGTGTCATGCAGAACTTCCAAACAGATATCACCACCCACCAGATGATTGACGATATGGGAGCCCGAGGTGTTCCCCCTCGAGTTACAGAACCACTTCCTGCACGTAGGAATGTTGCACCTCACAACACAGGCCGGGTTCTGCAGCCCACAATACCGGCAAGCGTGTTCCGTGAAATCCCCCTTGCCAAATTCATAATTTTCATCGCCAGTCTCCTCGAAGTTAAGCCCGCTCATGCCGGCCGCGAGGGCATCAACTACGCCAGCGCTGGCTGCCTGACCGCCAGAAGCACCCCTGACCTTGGAGGACGAGGAGGCGGAGGGGGAGCGCGCGGGGGAAGGGGAAGCGGAGTCCGGTGCCTGCAGATCGGCGGCCGGGGTGTCCGGAACGGGCTCTGGTGGGGGAGAGGGAGGGGGCCAAGCGGTCGATCGGGAGGGCTGGGAGAGTTCCTGGAACTCGGGGTAGTCGTCGAAGTCGTCCTGGGTGTTGAACTCGAGGAAGGTGTAGGCGTCTCCGCTGGTGTCGGGCTGGGACGCCGTCTCGTAGAGGTTGTTCACGGACTGCCCGGCCATGGCTAGGACCGCCGCGGGAGGATTAGGGTTAGAGTGTCAGATAGCTCGCCTATCTCCCCAAATCCGAGCTTTAAGGAAGAGGGGGAGGGCGGAGGGAGGTCGAGGTCCTAGTGTTAGGGTTTAATAGTACCGGAGAGAAAGGAAAGAGAGGAGCGAGGACGAGAAGAAGGGACGAAAGAAATTTTATTGGGTACAAAACCAAGTGACGATCAATTAAATCCGAACCGCTTGACCAAATGAGTATTTGTAGGGACGCCGGATTTGAGTGGCTTCATAAATGACCTCTGGTCATTACTTGTCAGAAGACGCGTCACCCCCAAAATTTCGCAGACGTTGCATCCATATGATCATAGGTTTTATCCCGTTATATTTAGACAGTAATCTTTTGGATACAGTGAAGGAGATTGGTTGATTCCACCTCTTGTTTCTTTTGGATACGGAGAAGGATTGGCTTTGTATGAATAGTTTGCTTCACCCATTTAATGTCTCGATCCCAAGGCCACCTTGTTGTTTAGGATTTGTGATTTAGTCCCAATTGATAAGCTTGCATTTATTATGGTCAATGCTATCATTCAAAAAATAGTTCTTAGTGATCTTTCTCATATTCCTTTTAATTTTGTTAGAACTTAAGAATTCAAGAGCAAGTGGGTGGAAATGGGATTGACCACCGAATTAATAAATCATATATTTAACAATTTTATTTAAATATAAAATAATATTATGTTATATTACATGATATATTATTATATAGTGAAAAAAAGATAGGAAAGGAACAGATTATCAAAAAGATGACAGAGTAATAAATATAGCAAAATTTTATTCTCTTTCAATCTTGTAATTAAAAAAAGGAAAATATTCATAAAATTTTAAATACATTTATAATATATAAATTAATGCATAGATATATAAAAATTTGAGTATTTTTGGAAGAAATCAATTGGGACGATAAATCCTTTTTTTTCACTTGCTCTAAGTTTTTGTTTTCTATATTATTAAAACCTTGTCATATTTATTTTTATTTATTGTGGAAGAATGATAATAAAAAAAGTGACACTGTCCCAATTATAATGTTTTTGGATCGACTTATAATATTTTTGTTACCGAATCCAAATATTATAACAGAATCTTCATTTTTTAGAATATTTAACAACCTTAATGATCAACTTTGCTATAGATATAAACTTTACATAAGATGATAGTTTATAACTTAAGTAGGTTTTAATAAATTTTAGAAAAAGATGATAAACCTTCAATTTTCCATTTAAGTTTAAATCTACTTGTCTCTAAAGTGTTATTATATTCGTGTAATTTTTTTTATAGAATAATGACATTGATAAAGAGTGATATATTATTTAGATACGATGTTTCTAATAAGCTTATATTAATTTATGATTATTGAATAAAAATCATGTAATACTGTGTAAATTTTTCCTCAGACCACGTAAAGATATATACAAGTCAATTAGATGCCAATAGGAGATTAGTTATGTACATATTATAACGAGGGTCGTTTGTATTTTGAGAAAAATTCTATGTGGGTAAAATGAAAAATGAGGCTTATCTTAAAAAACTCGTAAATAGATGGGAGATTAGTTATGTACATATTATAACGAGGCTTATCTTAAAAAACTCGTACGTAACTTTTGGTATCACGTACGTGGCAGTAGACAAAAGACCATCGGGCTAACGTAAAGCGACACCTCAGATCCAGACGAGACAGCCATGCGACATCTGTATTGGGGAACTGAACTCTCTATCATTCCACTCCATTCTAACTCAAGCTTCGAAGGAATTGAGTCGGGAAATCCTGCTCCCGATCTCGTCCTAAGTGCAGGGGCTAGCGACGAAGAGAAAAGCACTGAAGCTTGCAATTAAACCCGACCCGACGTTCGTTTCTTCCTCTCGACTCTCCACCCAGCAACCTTGCATATTCGTGATTGGACCGAGCTATGCTGACTTCTCGGCCATGACGTAAAGATTCATCAATATTTTTGGCACTAGAAGGAAGGCCTGAGGTCCGCACCTCAGTTGAGTAAACTCGCTCCTGAGCTGTGCACCTTAGTTATGAGCCCTTGGCTCCTCTACGGGAGGGAGCTCTGTTAAGGTTATTTAGTCACACATTGGTTTAGTCCTATGAGGGAGCACTCATAAGTCTATTGGGTCTCCCTTAACCTCATAGGTACTTTTTCAAGCTCAGATGCTTCGAAAGAACAAAATCATGTGTGTATGCCCATCGCTCAAAGCAGATAATTCATTACAAACCTATAAGTTATATTAATGATCGACTAATCAAATGATCTCTTATCGCATCTAATAAATATTATTCTATGATGCATCAAAATAGTTATCAAATATATCATTAAATTACTCACATGTAGTTTAAGATTAGAGTTTTCTCGTGGGGTCGGGCACTTAGGAAGACAGAATGCGACGATATGTACATCGTCATCCGGAATGAGGTGGCTTCCACTGCCTCTTATCATGTTCCCCACCTTACTGATCGTCCATGACGTGAGAGGTCTCTTCTCCGTAGGACATGTGGTGAACCTCATGTTGATCTAGAATGAGGTGGCTTCCATCGTCTTTTGTCATATTCCCCACCTTGCTCATCATCCATGACACGAGAGGTCTCTTCTCCATAGGATACATGGTGAACCTCATATTGATCTCCCTGGCTTCCACTGCCTCTTGTTGTGTTCCTCATCTTGCTCACTATCCATAACACGGGTGATCTCTTCTCCGTAGGACATGTGGTGAACCTCATGTTAATCTCCCCATATACATGGTCGATGTCGGCAAAGCAAAATAGGAGCATTCTTTTTCTTTTTCGAGCTCATATACTTGGAAAAGATAAAATCATATAGGTATGCTTATTTCTTAAAATGGATAATTCATTACGATATTACGGATCACATCAATGATCGACCAATTAAATGATCTCTTACCGCATTCAATAAATTATATTCTATGATGCATCAAAATAGTTATAAGTATATCATTAAATTACTCATCCGTAGTTTATGATTAGAGTTTTCTCGTGGGGTCGGGCACTCAGGAAGACAGAATGCGACGACCAGTACAGCGTCATCCGGAATGAGGTGGCTTCCACCGCCTCTTGCCGTGTTCCCCACCTTGCTCACCGTCCATGACGCGAGAGGTCTCTTCTCCGTAGGACACGTGGTGAACTTCATGTTGATCTCCCCACATACGTGGTCGATGCCGGCAAACCGAAATAGGAGCATTCCTTTCCCTTTCGGCCTCCGTGAGCGCTTTTGCGTTCCCGATCGATCAATATCACCGCCAAGGTTTGGATCAATAATTCTACCTGTTCTTATCTTTTCCTTTTTGCGATGAGATGTTTCCGTTGTTTCGATTATCTTTCAGTGCCATTTTCGCTTGATTTTTTTTTACTCTGAAAATAGGGTTTTGGTTGATGAGTTCGGGGTTCCGGACCGGCGGGTGGTGACCGAGGAAGGGGGGCATTGATCTGAGAGTTGAGAAGGGGAGAGAGATCATGGCGTGCCGGGGACTCTGGGAGTGCTTGCTGAAGCTTCTCAACTTCCTGTTGACGCTCACCGGATTGGCTATGGTGGGATACGGAGCCTACTTGCTGGTGGAGTGGAATAGAGTTTCTTCTAGTGATGATGACGATGAACCGATATCGCCCACGGGCGATAACCCCGAGTTCTTGACGTTTGGTCGGCCCATGCTTGTGGCAGTTTCTCTGTCGTCAAGTTTTCTTGATAAGCTACCGAAGGCTTGGTGCGTGAATCCTCTGCTTTCTTATTTCTTGGCGAGGGTATTCATCATGCTGAAATTACTCTGTTTCCGTTTCTTTCCTTTTTGCCTTGGATGGCGCATTGAGTTGCAACTCTGCCTTTTTTTCAAAGGAAAATATATCATTATGGAAAATGATCATAACACTATTATGAATTGCTTGAAATCCTTATCGAAAGTTTAAGCTTGCTTAACTGTACTCTGGAAAATGCCTTTCAATCATTGAACGTCGATGTTGAATCTGTCTGCATGCATGACAGTAGCTACATTCCCATTTTAGAATGTGGTTCTTTTTGTATAAATTGTTAGAGCTAGGTTATAAAGCACCAACAAGTAATCCAAGAAGGGCATGTTCTCTTTTGGTTTGTTTCTCTTTTGAGTTTATTATTGTTTAAAATGATCATTTAACTCGTGCTTGTTTGGTCTTGCATTGACTTTTATTGGTGAAGCCTCAATGCCATATTCACCTTATTTTTAGGCATTTTCTATTCTTAAATTACTTCTCTTTCATACTATTAAGACAAAATCTAGGTGTCCGATTGGGATGCTGGTTCGGAGCCAACCAAGATCCTATTCCACGTTTCTCTCGTGTCAAAGAATGCTGAATATTATTTTGACTCCCAAAGGCTTCAAACCCTATAAGAACTACTTCGAGGCGTGCTTGACAATGCCCCTCCGATAATTAAGTTAGTTTAGGGAATAAGGTGTCGGCCAAGTATTGAGTCTTCTAGAGTTGGATGAGCTTGTGAGGTTTTATAGTGTGACTTCGAGACCATTATGCTTGAAGATGCGCATTAATGTCAGAGTCAGTTACGTGCTTCTTTTGGTTCTAGTGGAAACGTGTCACGTTGAATTTGGGGAACATTGCAATGGTCGTGACGTGGTTGGTAACGTCTAGGGGATGGTTCCATGTCAGTCACACGATGTTGAATCACCGGGGACATGATGCGGAGGTGTCGGCTGTGTAGCGCTAGGGTGTCGACCACATGGCATTAGGGTGTCAAGTGTTGGTCACATCATTGTTTCTCTATCATTTGTCCCCCATCGTGCCTTGACGAGTGTAGTGGAGTTGAGATGCAATGAGGTTTCTATTTGATTGTCGACATCGGAAGGAAAGCGCTTATATGTCTTGTTAGCACAGGAGATGAATTATGCCAATTGAGTAGCATTATTGTCAAGAGAGGCACTTTGGATCGTGTCAACCACGTTGTTCGCGAAAGGACCGCTTCAGGTTGTGTTGGCCATGTTATTATCAAAAGGAGCGCTTTGGGTCATGTGGGCCTTGTACTCTTGTTGTCGTCAAAGGAACATTTTGCATTGTGTTGGTTGTGCTATTGTTGGAAGGAGTGATTTGGGCCATGTCGGTTGCGTTGTCGTCCAAAGGAGCAACTTGGGCCGCACTGGTCGTGTTATCAGGCTCTTTGAGACTCGATGTGTGGCTTGGGATGGCAATTTATTGGAGAAGAACGAGCCTCGTGGTGATTCACCTAGTGCTATCTACTTCGGATTTGCGAGGTGTCATCGTTGCCCCTTCTTCCCGTTGGCATGTCGTTTTGTTAGTTATGTTTTATCTACTTGGATTTGATTCTTTACATTATGATGGCTTAACATCCTCCCCTTGTTGTCATGGACGGTCGTCGCACACCCGTAACACCTTCGTCAATGGATCGTTCATTGCTTTTGTTTGCGTATACATATGTTTAGCAGTATATTTTGCATTGTTTTTGTGTTTTTGCTTGAAAATTGTGGGCAACAACAATTTGCAGGGCTATAGAGTGATCGCTCATTGGAATGGGCAAAACTATTCGAGAATGGCTCAATTTTCGCGTGTCATGACATGTTTTTTATAGGCTATGATGTGGAGCAAAAAGTCAACCATCTCAGCACCCCATAACCCCCCAAGTGGCACAGGGTTGGATGAGGGTTTAGGGTAGTGTTGGGTATTAATTGGATTTATAAGTTCTTACGTTAAGTCTATGGGAACTTGTCGATAGGCTCGACACTCGGCGAGTAGTTGTTTGCGGACTTGCGATTGTTCGTTTGCCTTCTAAAGTACTTGTTTATTCCTTCCTCTTTTGCACACCAAGTGGTTGTTGAATTGTTTGTAAAACTGTCCTCTTTGCGAGATGTCAAGACTTGTTCATTACTCGTTTTCTAACTAATCAATTTGCTTTTTTAGAGGTCCTTTAGGACTTGAGTGAGGTTGTAACTAGGTTAACCCTTTGCGGACGAATAACGTAATGGTGCCTCACGACTTAGGCAATTCCAGCTAAGTTTGTGACATTGTAGTATCAGAGTTGGCAAGCAATTCGAGCAAACAACGAAAGCTCACAATCTCGACATGGTGAAACACCGTAGCGAATCGAGTAATACAAGGCAAGCCAAACCATTGCCCCAAGCAACCATAAGTGGGCTACGAGTGTAAACTCGCTCTCAAGTTATTAGAGTCGCTCAAGAGGAGTGTTACAGTGAAAATGATGAGCGAGAAGTTAGTTATTCTCTACGAGCGGAGGAAGCACAATTCAGAGCGCCAACCGAGAAAAGAAGCAATAAGGAGAGGCTTACAGTTGCAAAAACTCGTCTTGACGTTCTTGAAGCGAGTCTAGAGGAACTCTACTAAGGCCAACGAAGGTTTCTTGGGGTTAAGAACTCGCAAGAGGAGGCGAAATCTCGGATCAATAAGGCCGAGTCTCGAGTAGATCAATTAACTGAAGACTCCAAAGACTCTATATAACATCTACATAAAGTCGTGATGGAACTCACATCCAGGATTAAATTGCTCACAATGGCTCTTATTAGGGGAGGGAACAACACTCGTGTTGCTCTGCCACAAAACTTGAGGTCGCCCGAGCCACACTGATACAGGGGTGCCATGGATGCAAAGGAGCTCGAGAATTTTTTGTTCGGCATAGAATAATACTTCCGAGCTACGAGGTTTGATTATGAAGAAATCAATGTTTCCATAGCAATGATATATTTGAATGGGGATGAAAACATTGGTGGCGAACACATTGGGAAGAGATCCAACAAGGTCGATGTTGAGTGGACACATCGAGTTGAGAAGTTAGTTCCAACTCGAGAATATAGAGTTCGTCGCAAGAAGAAAGCTGAGACAACTTCACCAAAAGTACTTTTATTCGGGACTACGTGAAGCAGTTTTCAGCATTGATGCTGGACGTACAAGACTTGTCCAGAAGGACAAGTTATTCAGCTTCCTTGATGGCTTGAAGTTGTGGATATAGCAAGAACCACATCAAAGGATTATCACCAATATGGTCGGGGTAATCGCAACTATGGAAAGACTAACCGACTTTGTTTCCTTGGAGGACTCGGGGAAAGAGAAACAATCTTCGAGAAATCACCCATTTAAGTATTCCTGAGGGAATGAGTCCACAAGCGAGCCGAAAAAAAGAGAGTTCCCATAAGGATGTGAGTTCAAAAGACAAGACCCTAAAACCTAGTGGATGCTTCTTGTGCGGAGACCCGCACACAGTGAGGGAGTGCCTACAAAGGCTAGCAGTCAATGCATTAACAACATTAATCCATCCCCCAGATTAGACAAGGGCAAAGGGGATGAAGGTGCCGAACTCGAAGGCTAACCAAATATTCGGATTGGCAAAGGGGGTCGGTCCCATCAAGATCGCAACGTAGAGCGAAAGCACAAATATGATGGTTGTGCTGCTAGATGATTTACAAGTGATCCTCGGAATGGAGTTCATACACACGACGAAGTTAGTGCCAATGTCATTTCTAAACTTCCTATTCCTAGTGGGAGGTGATGACCCCTGCGTGGTTCCTGTATCTCAAGAAGGAACTAAGGACCTACAACAAATATCTGTTCTACAATTGAAGAAGGTGGTCACATGCTTGAAGAAGGTTTGATCTTGATGCAAATGACTGAAACATCTCCGGCATCATTCTATTTGATCCTTTATGTACCTACTAGTCTTGATGTGTTCGTATAATACAAATATCAGAAAAAAAAGAGCAAAAGAATATTTCCTTTTCTGAACAAAACAATTAAAATCAGGCTCAGTCAGCAGTTGGCTGTTCACGAACTAGCTGTTCCTATCATTTCTCTTTGGGGTCAGTGAGTGCTTTTTTTTTTTGAAGGAATGCCATGTTGGAATTCACAATCAAATGTGTCTCCGCAGTGTGTTATGTAAGGAAATAAAAAGATCCACTTGTACAATTTAATCTGTATAAAATTTAAATAATTGATGGCTTGTTGAACCTTGCAAATCACGCGATTAGGAAAAAATAAGGCATTGTTTCAATCTTCTTCGGTGTCAAGGTAATCAATCTTTTATCATTTCATTTGAAAGATCAAAATATTAATTGGTCCACAAACTAATATTGACTGTCCGAGTGTGGTTATGTTGCAAATAATAGTGCCTCATTGAAATAAAATATCAAATTACTTTCTTTTTTGACCTGCATATTTTGTTCTTCTTCATCTTTTTTTTTACATTGTTCTATATCTAAGTGATGGGGAAAGTTTTTTAAGCATACACAAGTTATGATGATGCATAGATTATGCTCATGACTGGAACCAGAACAAATGATTCAACCTTGGTAACCAGTGGTAACCCCCAAAGTGCATGAAGTCTCATAGTTGTTTGAATTTATGCTGCTGATTTTGAAGTAGAGGTGGTTATCACCAAGTAACCAATGATTCAAATGGCTAGCAAGTGTTTAGTCTGTTGCAGTTGGATGTCATGAGAATTGTTGGTGTTCCAAGATTGCATGGTTGATTTGTGAGCATATAATGTATCAATTAATGGGATTCATATAGTTTAATTGTGGGGGTCAACTGCATTAGACTCTTGAGTCCCCACCACTATGGTTTACACCTTACACAACAGATGATCCTGTTATGCTCTATGGATTTTGTTTTCTTTTGGTTTGAAAATGTGATTTTTCTTGCAGGTTCATTTATTTGATTATCGGTATTGGAGTTGTTCTCTTCATCATATCATGCTTTGGCTTTATTGGAGCAGTTTCGAGGAACGGGTGCTGCTTATCTTGTGTATCCTACTTTCTTGAAATATGAACTAGTCAATCAATGTCACATTGTAGTCACTAAAATAATTTACTTGCATTTTTTGTGACATTGCGTGTTCTTTGCCTTCTTGAGATTGTGCCTTTTATTTGAATCAGCTTTAACTTCGACCTTTTTTAGATTACACTGCAAACTATAACGTAATAACTTACATTCAAATGGTCTGTTCAGTTGCCTATGCGCAGGACTGCCTGAGTGATGGGGTACGAATTTCAAGTTTTAAGTTAATGTCACAGCTAATGCAGGTACAGTACTTCAGCTCGAAGCAGCAAAATTCCATTGTTCTAGCATAAGCACTTTAAATTGCCTAGTATTTTGCTATTTTGCTTATGTTACAGCTTAGTGTTCATGATGCTTTATGTAAAGCCATGTAATTTAAGTTGTTTTGTTTTTGAGAACTTTTTATTTCTTTCTGCATCACGATGATCACTTTTGTAGTTACTCTAGAACACTAGAAGATCAGATATCCTTTTTAGGTTTTTCAGTTAATATATGTAAGAAGCCTGGTGATTTAATTAAGTTTGGTTATCCATTTGGCTGGTGTTTGCCTCATACTGTCGGAAAACCGTGGATACCATGCTGAATGATGCACAAGCCTCTTAAGAATTTTGTCATATGAAAACTGAGAAACCATATATAGAAGCTCTTAAGGGGCTGCTGAGGTGCTTGGTAGTGACAAACATGAGATAAATTGGATTTTGCTCAAGTCACTTCTTCTAGGTTGATCCAAATCAAAACCAAGCTGAATTTGATCATAGCTTGTTCTACTTTTATACTTCATGATCCCCATTTATTTCTTTTCTGTTTCTGTCATGATATTCACTATATTCTTCATCCGAAATAGTATTTCTTTCTTAGTGATCTTGTTGATTCTAGTTAAGTTGGGAACTTCAGCTTTGATATATTTTGTTCAGAGCTTGATAAACTGGATTGTTCTATTTATCTAATATAGATCTGAATTGAGCAGAATTTGTTCAACAGCTTTATCTACTGTTATACTTTATGATCTCCATAACTTCCTATTCTGTTTTTGATAAGATAATTCTAGTTTCCTTAACCAAAATAGTATTCTTTCTTGGTGATCTTGTTGATTCTCGTTGAGTTGGGAGCTGCAGCTTTTATATTCTTTGATCATAGCTGGAAACATGTGAGTTTTGTTTTTCTATATTCAACTTTTATTAAGGTTTCTTTCTTAGTTTTGACTTTGCTGCTCTGCAGATTATTCCTGTTGATAAAACTGGTAATTTTGACGTGATATATGATTTCTTGGAGGAGAATTGGAAGATAGCAAAGTGGGTTGCCCTTGGAGCTGTTATTTTGGAGGTGCGGAGTGGCAATTAATTTTTCATTATTTTATAAATGTTCTCTATTGCTGAAGCACAAAAAGATGAAGAACAGAAGTTTATTAGACAAGTGTTCTTGTTTTTATATCATCCCTCTTTTTTCTTTTATGTTGAAGAAAATACTTTGCTTAAGCTCATCCATGTATTTCGGTAGTAAATGATTATCACATTATATAGTCATCTGCAACCTCAATAGATATCCTACAATGCTATTTCTCTTCCATAACGTTAGGGAAGCTTCCACTTTGAACTTCTCCAACGGGCGCTTAAGAAAACTACACAACTGCTGATGTGCAGGCTTTGGTGTTCCTATTGGCTCTTATAGTGAGAGCAGCAAATAGACCCGTCGAGTATGACAGCGATGATGAATATATTGCGCAGAGTTCTGGCATCCGGCAACCATTGATCAACCAGCAAGGAGCTCCAGCAACTGGCATGCCTGTATCTGGCACTCTTGATCAGCGTCCAAGCAGACATGATGCTTGGAGTCAACGAATGAGAGAAAAGGTATATTCTATGCTGTATAGGAGCAACTGAAGTTGCTGGTTCTTCCTATTGTAATTTAATCTATTTCTTGGTGTTTTTTTGCCTCGACAGTATGGTCTTGATACCTCTAAGTTCACCTACAATTCATCAGATCCAAACAGAAGCCAACAATCTGCAACACCATCATCTGAAGAAAGGGGTGGTTGTAATATACTGTGAGGATGACTACCTCATGCATCTGCCAACAACTTTGTGAGTAATTTCATCTTGGGTTTGTGTAGAGTGCCTGTTGTTCTTAATCTTAAATAATTCCACGGGAAGTCATATGGAAACTTGATTAGAATGGCTCCATAGTTTTTGTGAGTTTGTGAATGATCTTTAAAGACCTATCTAGATGTAATGAATCGATATATGTCATCTGGAAATTGGTGCTATTGATGCTTCGACCGTGCGTATGATAGCCTGAGTTAGGTTAGACTGCATTACGATCCTTATCTTGGTTTTTCATGTTCATTCGAATATTATTACATGTTTAGAGGAATGATGGACGCTGAAAATTTTCAAATATGAGTTTTTTCGTATGTACGTCATTTCAATTTTAGTATATGTATACACTATACTTGATCGTCGATTTCATAGCGGAATTAAGTGGACCAAAATCGATGATGTCAAAATCTCGCATCAGTGGGTCAATGGGATTATTGATTCAAATGTAATTTAGATAAATTTGAAAATAAAATGTTATTATATATTATGTGAAAAAACAAATTGGTCTGGTTAATAAATAAAAAAAAGGCCAGGAATCACTGGTGATAGATATTTTCCATCTATGAGTATCAACCAAGACAGGTTTGGGGGGATTAAGAGTCCAACTCGGTTGTGGTGGTGGCTACCGCCTCGAGTCTCTCTCTTATCCCTTCCTCACCCACTTCACGCGGCCGCTACCATTGTCATCCCCACTCCCACCGCCCGCTCACCCAATGGGCCAATTCCCGGGGAGTATTAATCTCCCTGTACTCAATTATTTTATCGTATAAAAATTACAATTTTATTATCTTTTCCGGGGCATCTATATTTTAAAAATATTATTTTATTATTATTACATCATAAGTATTGATTGATGTACTATACCCACTTACAATTCATAAAATTAAATATCATTCCTCATCATAGACCTATTGATAAAACCTTACGGAATTGAAGGAGATGATTACGATGAAACCTTGAAAGAAAATAAAATGATTATGATTGAACAAAAGTAGTGGCACAAAAACGATCATGACGAAACGAAATTGACAAGCCACAACAAAGTATATTTTGGGTTCTAGAAAAAATTAATACATAAAATAAAAATAAAAATAAGAGTATTATCCCTAAAAAAATTCTAAAAAAATATTTTTTTAAGAGAAAATGCTCTTATTATTGCTACATCTAAATTATTAATAAATGCTATACCCA